AATGTGAGAATAACTTCATACTTTAAAAAAATATATTAATATTGTACTTAGAAAATATGTTTCCTGACCGCCTCAGTGATTTCATCTTTGTTCGAAGTGAATATTTTCAGAACGGTTCCAAAAGTCAGATGAAAGTAACACTTAAGCACAGACTTGGAGCTTACAATGACCATGTTACATTGAATTCAAGTTGGTTAAAACCGTAGGTTGTCGTCTTACATGATTCCTCAAACTTCGGGCGTATGAAAGACGTTTCTTCGTTGACTAAAATTTGGTGTACTTTCTTCAGTTAATGTAGCTACTTTGAGCAACTTTAAGCTCGTTTCCTGTTAGCAGGAACTTTATATAAGCCTTTATTAATAGCCTTATTTCACATGACTTAGAATCAAGAGCACCTCATTTCAAAAATTTATCATCGAGACAACTTCAAAGTTAGAGAGCAAACACAATAATTTGATGAAAACTTTGATACATCTCACTGGCGATGTAGGTGGCTTTGAAGAATAAGGAAAGAAGAATTACTGCCCAAAGCTCAATTGAATCGTGTTGTGCTAAAACCGCTGATGTTCATTTTTTTTTTTTTTTTCAATTTTGGGATTTTTGGTTGGTTTTTTGGGGATTTTTGAGTCACTCTCTGGAGTGATGACTTGGCTAATTGACCACTTACAGAAGCAAGAGATTCCTCCAAGGAGGAAAGTGATGGCAGCGAAGTGGGAAATGCGTATAGAGGTATATTTCATCTTTAACAGCATTCCTCAAAGGAAAATTTTAAAGTTCCTTTCATTTTTATTGTTCCTTTTCACTGTTTCTCACGCTAAAGATGGTTTTTTGTTCATTTTTCAATAATATTTGTACGTAAAAGTATCCATTTTTTATGCTTGAGAGCCGACTACGCACAAATCGTGCAAAAAATGTTAATGTCCAAAAAATCAAATGAACAGCTGGTAGCTTCGTGATGAAACGTGTTTTAAATGTGGCAATTGTAGAGAATTTTATTTTTTTTAACTCTTTGTGAATGATAATCTACCGTTTTAATCTCTTCATAATGTACTAGCAGGAAACCCGTACTGAGCACAGGAAGCCCCCCACAATCAGTAATCACTGTGATTAGTGATCAGTTACAAAATTTTGTCTCTGGATTTTTATTTACTTCTTCAAAATTGGCGAGTCGCACTGCTTTGATAAAAATTCAGAGATTAGTGATATTAATTATAGGATTTTTCTCGTAATAGGTATTTGCAAAGTATTAAATCATTATTTAATGGTCATTGTTTGTTAAAAACCTATTAGTATTGGTAAAGTTTATGCGCGCCGGTACCTGCCAGGTGATTACAGCGGCTCACTGGTCTGTGAGGAATATTTTTAAGACGTCTATATTATTCCCACTTATTAAACCTTATGAGTAAAGTTTTCATGTCACATTATTTTTACAAAAAACTTCAAATTTTGTCCAGCTATATGTTCTCATCCTCCTACAATTTATGACATATTTTGGAGGTGGAGGAGAGTCTATTAAGCATTATGTATATAATTAAAAAGGGGGTTGGGTTGGGTGTCATATGGGAAAGGGGGTTCAAAAATGCCATTAAAGTGTGTTCCGCATTCCTAATGGCGATTTTAAAAAGATGATAAAAAACGACATAAGTGGAGGTGTACGATATTTTTCGCCAAGATATTTGCGATCAATGTTTAGAATAGGTCTGTTTTCAGAAAATCGTGTTTGCAGATTGAAAACTCCTAGGGAACCGTACTTAAGATTCTAATGTTATGTGAGTAAGAAGGCGGGGTGCTGCCTGCCGAGTAGCCGCAGGGGCCGGTCTGCGACCTCCAATGTCGAAATTTGCAATTTTTCTTGAAAGTTTTGCAATGTTGAACATGGGAATCCCAAGTTTAATTCCTTGAGATTTTGTAATTACCACACACGATTTTTTTGAAAACAGCTATTTTAAATTTTCTTCGCAAATATCTCGGCGAAAAATATCGTAGAGACTCCCATTTTAGCTCATAAATTTTCTTTTTTTTTCTTGAAATTGTGATTTGAAAATTTTAAGTATGGGTACCGTCTAGCAGCCTCCAGGCGCCGCCCCCGACATTTTAAATATGCCCAAAAGCAGTTCCTTTTGTCCTAAGAACAGTGTAAATATTTCATTTGGCTGACAGCAAAGGACTCTATGCACGGACCCCCCAAATTTGCCCGTTTCAAAAGTTAACGAAATTCATACCAGTGATAGAGGGGCACTTCCGGTCTCCAAATCCGGGGTTGGTTTAGTCCCCAGCCCCCCGAGTGCGACGTTGCCATTTTTTAAAGTTGAAACATGTTAAACCCCATAACTTTTGAGCAATTAAAGATAAGGAGGTGCGGTTTGTTGAGTCGATAGAACATAAAAAGAGCTATCATTTCGTATATAGTTTTTATCCATTGTTGCCAAATTTACCCCAAAATCGACAATTTTTCGATTTTTTCAAGGTGCAATAATACGGTTAACCTAAAAAAGTCGGTATTGGGACACCACGTAGGAAAATAAAAAACACGCGTAATTAAAGCCCTTAATGTGAGCTTTCCAACGGTATATCGGTTTTTCCGGGGAAACGATTCTATCGCGAGATACAGGCCTTCAAAGTCCGACTTGGCGTACTTTTTGGAGGTCCCCCGTCATTCGCACCTCAAAAAATCAGTACTGCGCACGTCCATAGGAAAATGAAAATTACATGTAATGAAAGTCCTTTGTATGGTCTTTCCAACGGTATATTGGTTTTTCCGGGGAAACGATTCTATCGCGAGATACAGGCCTTGAATGTTCGTTGTAGCGGTTCAGGTCCTATTGAATATTACATGAAACAGGGGAGTTCTTATCAAAGTAGGCTGCCGTTCATGTAGCGTCGAGCAGGAAGAGAAAGATGTAGATATGCAGAGAGAGATGCAGATATAGAGACAAACCTGACACATACTGCCAACTGTATATTACCAAATTTTAAACGAATATTAAACATACAACTTCAATGGAATCTCACAGACAACGGATCCATTTCTATGTATCATGTCTCCCCTATAACACAATCCCTGAGACTTTTTTCTTGCACCCTTTATGCGTTCTGAGTGTTTTCATCCACGTTCAGTGTTTGACACCACCGATTTTCCCGAGGCAGGGAATCGATAAACGAGATCGAAAAATTGTCTATTTAGTTCCCTGTTTCATGTCTTATTTAATATGACCTGGGACGTGCACTATCACGATGGGCGAAGAAACAAGCCGCGCAGGGTACCTAAAAACCCCGCTACAGTGAACATTGCATGCATGTATCTCGCGACAAAATTGTTTCCCCGGAAAAACCAATATACCGTTGGAAAGACCATACAAAGGACTTTCATTACATGTAATTTTCATTTTCCTATGGACGTGCGCAGTACTGATTTTTTGAGGTGCGAATGACGGGGGACCTCAAAAAGAACGCCAAGTCGGACTTTAAAGGCCTGTATCTCGCGATAGAATCGTTTCCCCGGAAAAACCAATATACCGTTGGAAAGCCCTTACAAAGGACTTTCATTACATGTAATTTTCATTTTCCTATAGGCGTGCGCAGTACTGATTTTTTGAGGTGCGAATGACGTGGGACCTCAAAAAGTACGCCAAGTCGGACTTTGAAGGCCTGTATCTCGCGATAGAATCGTTTCCCCCGAAAAACCGATATACCGTTGAAAAGCTCACATAAATAGTTTTTCATTACATGTGAGTTTCGTTTTTCTGCCAGCGTTCACAATACTAATTTTTTGAGGTGCGAATGACGCGGGACCTCCAAAAAGTACGCCAAGTCGGACTTTGAAGGCCTGTATCTCGCGATAGAATCGTTTCCCCGGAAAAACCGATATACCGTTGGAAAGCTCACATTAAGGGCTTTAATTACGCGTGTTTTTTATTTTCCTACGTGGTGTCCCAATACCGACTTTTTTAGGTTAACCGTATTATTGCACCTTGAAAAAATCGAAAAATTGTCGATTTTGGGGTAAATTTGGCAACAATGGATAAAAACTATATACGAAATGATAGCTCTTTTTATGTTCTATCGACTCAACAAACCGCACCTCCTTATCTTTAATTGCTCAAAAGTTATGGGGTTTAACATGTTTCAACTTTAAAAAATGGCAACGTCGCACTCGGGGGGCTGGGGACTAAACCAACCCCGGATTTGGAGACCGGAAGTGCCCCTCTATCACTGGTATGAATTTCGTTAACTTTTGAAACGGGCAAATTTGGGGGGTCCGTGCCTAGAGTCCTTTCATTTGGGCCTTTTACAAGGCCCCGTATAGATCGTTTTCGATAGTGGTTCGATGTATCGTTCGGTTCAAACAATAGAACATAGCCTCAAACGAAAATTTTAGGATTTAAGTAGGAAAAGGTAGGAATGAGAATACTCCTATCAATTTCACTTTTCATTGCCATTTTATACTCATAAGAATCAAAAATCTATCCCAAGAACTAGGGCTGTGCCAATGTGGTTTTTTTTATGTCGAATCGAATCGAATATTTTGAAAAAGTTTAGAATTCGAATAGAATATTTTAATTTTTTATCTATTTTCAAATTTTTGACCCCCCTTCCCCAAAGAAATAGTTTTTTTCACTCAAGGGACATACCCCAAATTTCAACTCTTCAGCTCTGTCGGTTCAAAAGATTTTCAGCTGTCACGGGACTTTTGCCCCACCCCGTATAATAGTAATTTCTTTATTCAAAATTTTAATGTTAGAGGGAAAAAAATTATTCATTCTATTTTACTTCGACCAACAGAGGTTGGTTTTGGTCAAAAATAGATAAAAACTTAAAATATTCGATTTGATTCGAACTCTAAACTTTTTCAAAATATTTGATTCGATTCGACATTAAAAAAAACCACATTCACACATCCCTAGTTCATACATGATAAATAGTCTTAGGTACAATAATATTTCTCTCTTATCAGTTTTGCTGTTGATTTCATCATTATTTTTTTTCCACGTTGATTTTAGAATGATCACAATCCAGACATCACATCTAAAAGCGGTTTTACACCTCTTCACATTGCGGCACATTATGGGAATACAAACATAGCAACCCTATTAATCCAAAAAGGAGCCGATGTTAGTTTTGCTGCTAAGGTAAAAAATTTCTTAAAGCTCTCTCCTCATCACTTGCAGATTTTTTTATCAATATACTATAAAGTTGTACTAAATGAATTTTGGTTGTCACCCTGCTGGGTCTCTAGTTGTATTCAATGTCATATCAACAACCTCACTCATGAATCATATTTTGGGAATAAGTTGTTTCAAAATGTATAATTTTTTGATCTCAGGTAAAAAAAATTACAAACCCTATCATTGCCGATGCTCACATTTTGAGAGTACTTACGATGCGACAACTCGTCTAGGAAGAAATTATGGATAGCAATAAGTTATTAAAGGAACACTCTCTTGCAAACTTCAGCTAGAGCAAAAACAGATAATGTCCCTTAAAACAGTAAACACACTGATATGTTGTGGCGTGGCCTGTCTCGGCTCAGCTGACCGGATATCCATTAGCGCGGTTCCTGGACAGATGTTACCCTAGGGTGCGTCAAAAAAATGAAAGTTTGAGATGTCACTCTTTCCATGTGGCAATTGATGCCACTGGGTAAAGAAACATTATTGCCAAAATTTGGGTGAATTGCATCCATTTTAAATGGTGCCTTAGGTCAATCTTGTGACGAAATTGTGATTTTGAGGTTTAGACCTCGATTTTATACCAAAAAGCTGATTTTACACTGAAATCGTGCGCTAACGTGAAAAATTGCCAAATTGTGATTTTGAGGTTTAGATCTCGATTTTATACCAAAAAGCTGATTTTACACTGAAATCGTGCGCTAACGTGAAAAATTGCCAACTGACCAAGGTTGTAGTGGGTAAAATTTCACTCTAAAAACACCATTGAATAAAATAAACATCATATTATATCGAAAAAACTCACCGCAGTATTACTTTTTTTTTTGGTCTTCAGAATTTCTGAGGTCCTACAAAGCACAGGTACAGGAGACTCATTTCTTATCAAAATGAGTGAGAAAAGGGTATAAATTAACTGTAGACAAGTGCTGAGAATACGAATATCATCAGAATCTCCTCAATTTTAAAAAAAAGCCCCATCTTTTTGCACATTCCTCGAAAAAATTATGTAGCTCTAAAAGTAGAACACTAAAATAAAGAGGGAAAAAAGTACAGTTTGACCCAGAATAGATTGCATAATAAACTTTTCCTGTGTAGACGTCATCACTAGGTTCTCCTGAACAACATTTTAAAAGTCTACCATGGTCCTACCCTGGAAAACCCCTCGAAATGTCTAAAATTCAAAATGGCGGCCATAATAAGGGCGTCTGGGATTTCGGTATTTCAAAATGTTTGTATAGTGTTAAGTGAGGTATCATTTCCTCTCTACTTTTCGTTGTAGATTTCATAGAAGAATTTAATAAAGCCCCCTGGTCAAAGAGGGTGCCCCGAATCCGAGATGGCGACAAAATTTGAGAGGCAGGAGGGTGCCCTTTTTTACGTTTCTAATTGAAGAACAGCATTACATGATACGTGGTGCAGGCATTCGATAGTCTGGCACGAGTATCTCATTGGAAAACTCTATAAAATGCTCCCATGTAACCATGTGGAACTTCTGTCTTCCCCTTTAAACGGCAGACAATTTAGAGTCCGTTATGAAAACACCACATCAAGATTTAGACATATAAAAGCGGGAGTTCCACAGGGCTTGTGTCTTTCCCCTCTTCTCTATTCCCTTTTCACCACAGATATCCCACAGTCTGGGAGAGGGGGGAAATTGGGTGTTTAAACTGATGATACCCTCGTGCTAGCCTCGTCCAGGAGCTACAGGGAGGCATGCCAAAATGTCCAATCTCATCTCAATAGAATCAACAGATGGACAATCAACGATAAAACTAAACTGAAAGCTTCCAAATCTGTGGAAGTTGTTTTCACTTACAGACCATTCACCCACATTCCACTTTTGTTGGGTGAAAACCAAATCCCTTTCGATAAAGTATCCAGATATTTAGGTCTTCACTTGGATTCCAGGCTCAAGTGGGGAGCACATATAAAGAAAAAGGTTGCTCAAATGCGCCTGAAATTTGCAAACATGCAGTGGCTCTCAGGCCGCAAATCACGGTTATCCCTTCAACTAAAGTTGGTCCTCTACAAGTCAATGTTGAGGCCAGTTTGGAGTTATGGCTGCCAATTGTGGGGTTGTGCAGCCAAGTCAAATCTCGACAAGATCGAAATCATACAAATGAAAATACTAAGAAACACAGTTAAAGCAAGATGGTATGAGAGAAACGCAGATATTCGTGCTGACCTCAACATAGACTCTGCAGAGGATTACATCACTAAGATGTACAACTCCTATGAAACCCGACGTCATTGACACCCCAACCCAGAAGCACTTGCTCTCCTGGAGTTGGACCAATGCAGAAAGACATTAAAAGGCAGAAAGCCCCATGAGCTTGGAATCCAGCGGTTCACAAAATTTTTCCCTTAAAAAAAAAAATCAATAAAACGTGCCTCCTCGTGCTCCAGGGACATGTTCGGAGGTTCTTTGGACTTTGACCGGGTACGGTTGTCTGCAATTACAGATAAAGTAAAGACTTTTTTATTTTTGTAATAATTATGTCCTTATTTTTCTTTTTGTTACAATAAGGTAGTATTTATTACTGCTAAAAATTGTAAAAATAATTAAGTTTATACTTATAGATTAACCAAGCTTTTTAAAGACAGGATATATGTCTAAAAGTGCATTTTGTATTCATTATTTTGTACAAATAAGAAGAAGGAAAAAAAAGCATTATTCGATGGCAGTCATTATGAATCTCGCACGGGGTTGTTAATCAGGAATAACTTACCTGCATCTTTGCATTTTCCACAGTATACTTGTGCTTGAGGCCGGAATCTTAAAAATGCCAAAATTTCTTGTGCAAATTTTAACATAAGTAATTTTTAAACTTTGCTTATAGGCGATTTCCCTGAAGAAACAACTCTTATTTTTGCTGTAGCTGAAGTTTGCAACGAAGCCATTGCCCTGAAAAATGTAAATTTGTGTACAATATCATTAAATCTCTTGTAAAACTTAGATATCTGTATTTTCAAAAGTTTAGAATTTTATTTTTTCATAAACTTACTCCTTTTATTAGCACAACATCACTCCTCTTCATGTAGCTGCTAAGTGGGGTAAATTACCGATGGTAGCTCTGCTTATTGAAAAGGGTGGCAATGTAGAAGCTAAGACACGAGATGGTCTGACACCATTACACTGTGCTGCACGTTCAGGACACGATCAAGTAGTTGACTTGCTGGTTGAAAATAGAGCCTCTCTGCATGCTAAGACAAAGGTATTAACCATATACATTTTAATCCTATTTTTCTAGATTATGTACTGTTTAGTGTACTTCTCAAAGGAAATACACTGTCGCATTCTTGTATTGTGTCATGACCCAGAACTCAGATCTACTTAAGAGTACCAAATCACAAATATTTAAGTCATTTAAGTAGATGAATGACGTGTTGAATGTAATTTGAGCCACTAGTTGCTTCAAATAAATGCAAGTGAGAAGTTACAACATTACTAACCCAAAAACATCAATATCTTTAATATCCTAAGGTTTTTTTTGTCCTCCTTCACTTTTAACGGTTTGTCCTAATTTGATCTCGGAAACTACTGGACCAATTTTCCTCGGATTTGTTTTAAATGAAAGCTCTTAGGCTGTAAATTTGCAGGCACCTCTTGGTTTTTCGATTTGCGCCACCGATGTTGCAAAATTTACCTCAATTTGATAACGACATATTTGCGTTTTTGCCACTGGACAGTTTATCCTAATTAGATCTCGGAAACTACTGGACCGATTTTCCTCGGATTTGTTTTAAATGAAAGCTCCTAGGCTGTAAATGTGCAGGCACCCTTTGGTTTTTCGATTAGCGCGACCGATATTGCAAAATTTACCTCGATTTGATAACGAAATATTTGCATCTTTGCCGCCGGACGAGTCATATGGTTGGGGGACCTCCCACCCTTTGATTTTCCGTTTCCCTCTCCACGTAAACCTGCCATTAACACGTGTCACCCTTCTACTCTGGCATGGGTCCTGTGGCAGTATATGGCCCTTCCTTATGCTTTCTGACTCGAAACACCTGCTACGCATTTCCTCCGTCGCATTGCTCATAATCAGTTCTCGGTTTGTCCAGGTTTCTTATTAGTGCGTCTAGAGTTTTGCTTTCTTGATTTTGTCTTTCGTTTTTTTTTTACATGAAAATTACTTAGTTTTGATGTGTATTTTTCAGAAGATAATTTTCCTTTTTACGGCAACACAGGTTTTATTATTAATAGTTAACTTTTTAACAGCAGCTCATGTGTTCTTCCAAGAGGATCGGTAATTAATCTTCACCCTTTCGCAGCGTTAAAGAGGTTGTTCCATCCCCCATTAGATTTGGACCCTATCAAATATGATCCATCTTTTCAGGAGTGATACAGTAGCATGCGAGACGTTCAAATATGGCGGTCATTTTGACCTAGGCCCCCCCAGAGAGGGGGGGGCGGGGGGTCAAAGACAAAACCTTCAACTGCCTATAACTTTTGAGCGAAAAATCGGATTGAGTTGAACCTTTTTTTAAATGAAAGATCTCAAAAAGATCTATCTGTTGATGACAGAAAAATTGAAAAAAATTCAAATTTAATGAATATTTTGATTTTTTGGGGGACAAAATTTTCAATTTTGTCGTGTTTTGGCACCGCGCAATGACTCTACTAAAACAAAAACCAGTTTTTTAGATTCTACACCCAATTTCCTATAAGATGTCAAAAACCGCATCTTGGGGAAACGTTTAGATCGCGAGCTATGGCTCGTCAAAGTTAGCCCCGCGCTGAGCGCGCGCCCCCTGCGCTGTTCGCATATCCTCTACGCGTCTGCCACCGATCCTGTTGCCCCTCCTCCCCCTTCCTAAATGCAAATTAACATTCTACTACCCAGCTTTCGTATATATCTGCGTTATAGG